TAATAATATATAATATATGTAATTTTTAAAATATAATATATAATAAAAAAATAAAATTTTATATTAAATAGCGAAAACTTGTGAATATTGTATAATTAATAAATTAAAATATTATATAATAATAATAAATAAATAAAAATTTATAATTAAATTGCGAAAACTTGCGAAAACCTGTAAAATGTTCAAAAAGCATGATTATGTGAATATAATAATTATTAATTGATATCATATTCGATATAACTGGATATATATCAATTACTATCACTATCGATAGTAATCGATAGGGTATTAACCGGATATTAATCGATTACTATCACTATCAATAGTAATCGATAGGGGTGTTGATAATCGATATATATCTTACCGGTTAGTAATCGATATATATTTATATATAAAATTTGCCGATGTATATAGAAATAGAACCAAAAGATAACAAGAAAAAGCTTTTCTTAGAAAAAGCATGGTCAGTTCACTTCGAGCTGGGAAAGTTAGTCAGGATAACACAGGGGAGATTCGATAAAGAAGCCTTAGTAGAGAGAAATAAAATTAAAGGAATAATTAGAAATTTGCCAACATCAGCTGTAGAGTCTGCATTGCTCCGACAATTGAGAAGAAGTAATGCAAAGGCCGTTTACATTTCACAAAATAGTAACGGGAATCAGAGAAGAACTGCTAGTGTTTATTTTGAAACAAAAGAGGACCTTCAAAGCGCAGTAAACAGACCAGTTTGGTATTATAATGCTAGACTAGAATGGGAAACGAAGAATATTTATTTACGAAAAGAAGGGAATAAGAGAATATTACAAGAGAAACCAAGGAACCCAGAAGTAACAGAAGAAGATGAGAGTAGAGATTATGGATCGAAGGGCAAGGAAAAAATGAAAGAGTATAGAAAAAAGCAAGGTTATAATACGAATAAAATAGGAATTAAGAATCAGAGTCACAAAATATACGGAGTCAGGCACTGGGACAACAAGGAACAAAACAAAGAGAATAATTTGGCAAAGAAAAAGGCAATACTAGACCTACATGCAAACAAAAACATGCGAGAAGATGGTAAAGGAAGGAAAATGAGAGTACAGTTCCAGACTTCATAAAGTCAATTATTTCTTCGTTAATGGGCGACTTTAAAAACAAGGTAATAGAGAAAATCTTAAAAGCAAGTAGGGCACAAGAGTGCCCTACTCGCTCCTAATGGGCGACCCAGTTGAACCAATGATTATCAGTACTACGAGTAATTGTCTGGCTTCTTGCAGTACTGAAGAGAGTAAAAGCCAGAGAGACAAAGCCATAGTCTTGCGGAAGGACGTTAACAAGTATGCAGCAGTTAAAGTTGGTGTTCATAATATAAACGGCATTAAAAACAATATGCAGAAGTTACAGGAGGTGTGTGACTATGGTAAAGAATATAAATTGAACATCATTGGCCTGGTGAAAACAAACATTAGCGAAAAAGATGCAAAGTTTATAAATATCGAAAATTCTATATATCAGGGGTATTGGTCTAGTGCAGAATTGACCAAAAGAAAAGGTTCAGGAGTAGTAGTGATTTGAACCGGTTGGGCTATAATCGGTTAACCGACCCGAACCGAATAAATTTCGGGTAACCGGTTGAGTAAGTTCTTAATCGGTTGACCCATACGACCGGTTGAGAATCGGTTCACAAAACGTAAATGACATTATAAAAGGTCCCGAAAAGTTCCGAAAAGAAATGAATGAACATAGTAGACGAGACAAAATTTGAGTAAAGGTCCGAGAATTCCGAAAGTAAACGTGAAGTGATCTTAATCGGTTGAATCGGTTGACACCAAATATTTCGGTTCGGTTAACCGATTAAGGAAAATTTTCTCGGTTCAAATCACTAAGGAGTAGGAATCTTAATTGACGGAGAATGGAGCAGACATATTACAAAGGTAGAGAAACCGAACCCATATATAATAGGCATAACTCTTTCTTTTAAAAAGAAAAAAGCGGGATTGGTGCAATGGTAGACACACTAGGTTTAGGACCTAGATGTCAAGGGTTCAAATCCCTTATCCCGTACCAAATAACAGCATGCCTTTAATTCCGTGGGAGTATTTAGAGAAACATCTTATTTTGAATGCTTTTAAGATAGGGATTATATACCTCCCACCAAACGATAAGGAAAGAATAAAGGAAATTCGGAGATAGCTAATGAGAGACATAGCAGGTGCTAAAGCAAATATCCACCATATCTTGGGCAAAGACTTTAATAAAATTTTAGATATAGAACTAGATACAGCGAATCAGAAGGACAGGTAAAAATGTAAGGAGCTGCCATTAACAAAATGGATAGAAAGACTAGGCTTCATAGAAAGCTTTCGTCATTGCAACCCCAAAGAGAGAAAGTATACTTGGTCAAATGGAAGAAGTCAAACCAGAATAGATCACATCTGGGTATCAAGAGAATTATATGCAGCGGCCGAAAAATGTGATATCGAAGACATGAGCTTAGTCACTGGTAGTGACCATAATCTAGTTTGGCTATTTCTCAATTTGGGAGAAATACTAAGATTTAAAACTAAGAGAAGAAAGGAGGAAACCATACATAAATGACGCATATTTTTGTATAATAAGGCCACAAACGAAACAGGGAGGAATATAAGAGCATGTTAGAGAGACTTCTAAGGCATACAGAGGAAGATCAGGAGAAGGTAATTGGAGAAGAAGAAAAGGAAAGAGAAGCTAATGAAAGATGGGACCAAATTGAAAATGCCATACTAAAGGCGGCGAATCGGCATATTCCTTCTAAATGGGTTAAAAACATAAGGGAAGAGGTTAATAAAAATGTAGACAGAAGCCTGGTATTCAAAGACTCGAGGAATTTAAGAAGAATCGCACGTAAAGCCATAAAAAGTATAGGAGAAATAGCAAATCAAGTAGATAGATTATTGTTCGACTGTCAAATTCAGAGTATCAACGAAAGAAACAATAGTCAGATACCTCTTACGCCAATAGTTTGGGAAAAAGAGTAGTTTGATGAGGTGAAAAACGAGATAAAAATTCTAGAAAAGAGGGCCAATCCGAAGGAGCAAAAACGTAAGGAGAAATATATCGTAGAAAATATAGAAAAGCGATATGGTCTAATTGGGAAAAATGATAAGCTGATGCTGAATAGCATCTTGGAGCGCCCCTGGCGGAAGATTCTAATAGACAAAGTGCTAAAGCAAGAAGGGTCGAACCATAGCGTCAGGGAATTGATATCTGAACCGTATAAGATTAAAGAGGAGGTAAAGGAGCTTTATCAGGAGCACTTCAAAAAGAGAAAACATAATTTCGAGAGAATGTCAAAGAATTGGATTGAGGAATATGAGCCAAAATACTGGATTGACCCAACTTGGTATAAGGAAGTAGAGCAGCCAATCCAAGAACCCAAATAGACAGAGTGCATAAAAGATGCGAAAGCGAACACTGCTTCAGGTTTATCAGGCATAAGCTATACCTTTATTAAAAGGGCAGGTCCCGTAGCCACAGCAGCTTTCTTAAGGTTGAGCAACCTAGTATTAGATTGTGGAATTATGCCTCGAAAATGGAAGATAGGACAAATCTTCTCTATACCAAAGCTAGTCGAATGGGACTATGCTCTGGCTAGTACAAGACCCATCATGCTTTTAGAAACCTTTAGAAAAACGTTAGTAAGAATTGTGCAAAGAAGGCTTAGCCTAGTGCTTACTCAGCACCGAATCTTAAAAGGTCAAAATTACGTAGGCCTTCCTGGAGAGGCAACAAGCATCCCTATTCATATTTTTAATAACCTGGTAGAAGAGGCGAGAGAAAAGAAAAAGGAGGTGTGTGTGCTTTTTCAAGATATCAAAAAAGCCTTTGACTCAGTGCCTTCTGAAAGTATACAACGAGCATTGCGCAGAATTAAGGTCCCAGAGAAAACGAGCCACTTTATTACAGAGTTGTATGCAAGAAGAGAAGTTCGGGTTATTACAAAATTTAGGGTCACAGAAGGTTTCGAGGCGGAAGATGGTATCGATCAGAGGGAGGTCATTTCTCCTCTAGTGTGGAAGGTGATATATGACCCTCTCTTGTGCAAGATCCAAAGCCTAAAGGAAGGCTATAAAATGGAGGTGAATTGGCCAATAGATATAAATAAAGGCTTAGTCAGACAGGAAAAGGCGAAAATAAATTGTCTGGCATATGCAGATGACACAACCTTCATCAGGTGATCGAAAAAGGACCTAGAAACAATTACCAGAGTAGCTAACGAATACTATGAAATAAACGATATAAAAACAACCCCACAAAGTCAGAACTCCTGGTACTGCACAAGAAGAATAAAGAGGAGGAGGCTTCGATAAAACTTGGATCTGACGGAGAAATGGTCAAAATGGATGCAAAAGGAAAGGCAATTCAGTTTTTGGGCGTTTGGGTCACAGAAAAGAACCAAGCTAGGGATTGCAAGAAGAGGATTCAAAAAGATGTAGCCAGCTTTATAGCAATACTAAGATACAAAAAGCTATCAATAGGACAGATTAAGTATCTTAATAATATGGTGTTACTACCGAGAATTGAATACAAAACAATGACCAATCTGTTGCCGAGAAGCGTATATGAGGCTATACATCAACCAATGATTAGACTAGCTAAATGGAAAGCTCAACTGGTATCTACAGCTCCTAATTGTCTAGTTGCAAATACTGACTTCATAAGGATGAAAACTTTTTGGGATAGGCATACTGAACACGCTATAACAGAATAGAGCGTAAGAATCAACGATAGTGGTTTATTGGGGAAAACGACAATGCTGAGACTAAAGGAGATGCAACTAAAACATTGCAACCCTTCTCCGATATGGTGCTTTGAGGAAAGCAAGTTCAATGAAGCAAATATGAAATTCAATTTAAATGCGAAAGTACTGCAGTTAGCAAAAAGTCTGGGGTTTGAAGTGATATCTGAGACACACATTAAGGAATGGCAAATTGGTGAAGCTGAAGGTAGTGGCACAAAAATTATAAAGGTGTTGCAAGAAGCAAACTGGAAGGGGAGCCTAACAAGTCTAAAGAAATTACGGCTCTGGTACTTAGAGCAATTAGTCGACCCAGAAGGAAACTCCCTGTTAACGTGGCAACAAATTAAAAAGCTAAGAAAAGAAAGTACAAAAGGAAAGAAAGCTTCATGGTTTGCTGAAATCGAAAAAATCGTGATGGAAAACAACACAAGAACCTTACTTGAACCAATTATAGATAGCGAACAGGAATTTAACCAATTTTTGCTAGAACCAGAAATTAAGAAAGTTTCACGAAAAAGGTTGAGAAAGAAGTGGGTATTATTTGATAGTGATAAGGAAAACTCCCCAAAAGTAGGCAGAATCGTTAAAAAAACTAAAGACATAGCAGAAGTGGGCTCTATATTGGCGATTGAAAAATCCCAAAAGGAAAACTCCAGGGTAGCCTACAAAAATTCGAAAGGAACACCCCCTGAAAATGTAAAGAAGAAGGAGAGAGTTAATTGAACAAGCTTGTAGACATCTCACAGTGGATTGAGAGTAAAGAAAACTCGAAAGTAGGGCTTAACTTGGGTCATTATAAGAGGCCACTTGAAAGACGTGCACGAAAAGTAAACCAGAAAGAAATAAGAGAGGTAAAGAAGATTAAAAAGGAAATCACTACAAAGAGGTGGGAAGAATTATGCATTGAGAATACGGTTAAGGGAAGAGATAAGGTGGAGGAATTGGGTCAGATTTTAGAGTACAATTGGAGAGATAGGGTTTTTAGCTTCGATACAGACGGATCAGTTAGGATGCACCCAACTTTAGGTTGGTTAGAGTTAGAATATAGTGTAATACAGGTGGACAAAAATGTTAAGGTTATCCGGGGCACCTATGGGGGAATGCAAGGTTGGGCATCTTCCACTCGAGCAGAGTTAATGGGGATCGTGGAAGCACTTCTAATAGTCCCGAATGATAGTGAAGTAACATTCAATACAGATAGTCAGGTTGCGATAAATTTAATTAAAACGGCACTAAGGATACAAAGGACAAGGGAGTGGTTAAAACTGAACAACCCCGACATATTCAGTGCAATTAGAGAGATAGTGGTAACAAAGAGGTTGAAAGTGGAGTTCAATAAGATCCAAGCTCACTCACAGAACAAACTAAATCAGCAAGCAGACACGCTAGCAAAACGAGAACGCAAAGAAGGAAAATTAGTAGATATACATGCTGTTAGCACTAGAGGGTTCTTCCTAAAACCCATATGGCACATGAAGACTGTCGAAACTCCCCTCAGTGAGATGATTAAGAAATTGCTAGGCGTAACACATAAAGCAGAGTGGACTTTTTTACGGGGAGAAATGATAAAGTTCATGTAGAGCGGAACTCAGAAACAGACTGGTTAGTCTTCAAAAAGGTCCTGGCACAACTGAGAAAATCGCAAGGCAGAAGTATTAGAGACAACCAAGTTTGGAGCTTTAGACTTAAAAGTTTCAATAGATTGCTGCCTACGCTCGAGAAGAGGCGCTGCTTTAGACCCGATTTGTATGAGGATGATTTATACAAAAAATGCAATACAACGAAAGAAACATTTGAACATCTAACTGCATGCGATAGTGACACACAGAGGTGGGCACAAGCAGAAGAAGAAATAGTTAAAAAGGCGTGGAAGAGCTTGAATGACATTGGAAAAAAAGCAGTCTCAAGAGAACAGCTTGGAAAGATACTCCGAGGGACTTGTAAGAGTGGAGATACTGAGAAAGTCAGACGAAATAAAATGGCAAGAGGAATAATTCACAAGGAGACAAGGAAACGCCTATACGATCAAGGAATCGCCAACAACAGAATCACTAAGCTGTTAGTCCAGTTTATGCAAGATTGGCTTCAGTTCTTCCAGGATGAAATTTGAAATTCGCGCTACAAATCCGTGCTAAAGTAGGAAAAAGAAGTAGGCGTGCGGAAAAAGGAGAAGTATGAGAAGAAAAAGAGAAAAAGCAAGGAACAGGAAGACAGAAGTAGTCAGAAGGGCAGTGAAAAGGAAAGAAGAAGATCAAGCCGGTCAAAGAAGCAAGAAGAATGGTCA